TTGACCGGAAGTGACATCAACTTTGTTATTTTAAATGGAACACCCCATATATTTTTACATTTTTAAATTCTACATAAAATTTTGAGTAAAATTACTTTACCATGTCCTATACCTAGGGTAAATAGTAATTAATTAAATAGGAATTATTATTTTTTTCCGTTAAAATATGACAAATGCGCGTCAATCAAAAATAGCCTATAACTTTCTTGCTATTAGGTTTGCAGAAATGGGGGTGGAATTTTTGTAATCTTAAAACATTGTTTAAAATATTCCATGTCAATTTCTTAACATACCGGGTGTTACATTTAAAATAAAAAAGTTATTTCTCGGGTAATTTGTTGAAAAATGTTAAAGAATTGACATGGAATTTTTTAAACAATGTTTTAAGATTTCAAACATTTTACCCCCATATCCGTAAACCTAATAGCAAACACCTAGAAAACTATTCACTTTAGGTATACTTCAAGTGGTGTTTTTAGGTTGTGATACCACTATAGATTCGAAAGCAATGTATAATCGTCAAACTAAAAGATCAAGATTTGTTTCCAACATATATTTAATATAAGATAAATACAAATCTGTTGTTTTTTTAAAAAAAATCAAAAATAAAAACCAGAAATATTTTTTTTACTTAAAAACATTAAAATTGTTATTTTCCTTAAGTATAATTTTTGTATTATGTAAAAACATAAAATATTTGAAGAAAAAAAAATTTATAACAAAATAGAGAATTAAAAATCTGTTTAGGTTAAAATAATAAGAATGGCTTTGTAAAAAAATTAAATGACGTGATTTCGTGAAACGGTGGGACGTTTTTTAACATTTATTTTTAAAATCTGTTAAAATTTTTCATGGGAGGAAAATCCTGTTGTACTGTGTTATTAATCATGTGCCCAACCCCTTTAATAACGAATTTAATCAATTAGTGGCATTACATCTTGAATTTTCTTTGTATTTATTTTCTATTTACATAGGTTTATGCATTAATATAATCTTTTGAAATTATAAACCCCACTGATAAATGACAGTTATTTATTTAATAACTCATTATTCATCCCTTTCCGTCCTTTTGCTCCTTTTCGTCTGTAACCAAGGTAACCGGAAAGGGTTAGATGCAGCCAGTGGCGTATCCGTAACAACCCAATCCCCTATATTGATAAAAATTATATAACCATTGATCTAGGAAATGAAAACAAACATGAATTGGTCTGCGCTAGTGCTTACGGTTAAACCTTAACACTTATTTCAGCGTTATCGGTCGGCTGTAGGCAAAATAGCGGCACCTAATGTACATTACTGATGTTCATTTATCATGGTGGGCAACTGATCGGTATGTTCGATAAATTCTGTTCGGAAATATGTGCATCGTCCGCCCGGACGCGTTTGATTTATGTACGCGGTCCAGGAACGTTTTACTGTTTCGCTCAAATCTACATCCACTTGATATGTTATGTTACCCAAAGAAAGAAATGTGCTGCGAATTTATTTGGCATTTGATTTGTGAATAAGGTCTTTAATTTTGAAAAAATTACAACAGGTATTGATAAAGCATTGTTTCTTCCCAAGAAAATCACTCAAAGAGAGAAGTAGTTTTTTTGTACTATAAGTGGAATTTTCAAAACTGAAAGTACGCAATATCAAAAAAATCGCATCAGGGAATGATAAAGGCATTGTTTCTTCCCAACAAAACCAAACAAAGAGGGTCTTATTTTCAATAGAAAATCCAAAATCTTCTACAAGCTAGAATTTAGCATAGGAAAAATAACATCAGAGATGAATAAAGACATTGTTTCTTACGTTGAAACATAATTTTCTATAAATCTGCTACATTTTCTATAATTTGTTTGAAACAGTAAGATTTATATTTAACCATTTGTACAATATTGTCAAGAAAAGAGTGGAAATCTGTTGTTCGTATAAATATAGTATAACTTTAAGTTAGAATATAAATTTTACAATATTGGACAATTTGTTCGGGTGTGAAGCATCACACCACCTAAGATAACCAATGAAATGATTTCCCGCTTGAAATAAGACGCCAGCCGGTCGCTCAACTGCAATCTGCATCATCAGTTTGCAGTTTTAGTTGGTGTTAGGAAGTGTATCATTGTAAGGTTAGAACCACATTTCTGGTGAGTAATTATTGAATATTATTTTCAATCAATAATTATGACCTGGTGATCAAATGAGAATAAAAAGTGTTTCTATGTTCCTACTGTGCTACATTATTGATCAGCTTACTATTTACTTTAATTTGTAATTTATGTTCATGTGATGTTTTCAGTTTACAAATTTTTCTCAGTGTAAAACTTCCATGTTTCTAAATGTATCCACCCAGTTGACCCTGTAGAAAGGATGAGCGTCTCAAAAGTTTGTAATGATCTTTCTGGTCAAATCCAGACCTTAGTTACACCACAACTCTTATAATGACGTCCTTATATTATTGATGTGAGAAAGGGGTCGACTATTTTCCAATTTGTAATATTAGTATTGATGATCTAAGATGAGTTTCAAAACATAAAAATCACATTTTTGCTCCAGTTGGCAGATTCAAACCCACGTCAAGCCTTGCCAAAATCGTTTTTGCGACTTAGTCCATAACTTCAAAGGTGTTGCTGCCAAACCAATGAAGTCTTGAACTGTAATAAATCGATTTTGAAAATCGCAAATGAACAATTCCACTATAATAGACTATAAAGCATATTAACTAACTTGACTTCAGGCAACAGGCTGTCGCTTAACACTATTGAGTTGTGTTTACGCTTAATTGTTTGTTTTGTCAACGTAGCTGTGTATTCCAAACTATTCAGTTAAGTCGTAATGCCTCCGATGACTTGATTAAAGTTGCCATATTGGATTTAAATGCAAAACTAAATATCAATCGGTTTTAAATAGCAGGAAATATTTTACGCAATATTTTTTTACAAACATGTTTGTCCTGTAAAAAATAAGTTTGACCCAGTCCATAACTTTGCCAACTAAGTCCGCAATGAGCCTCTATTATATCAACTTGACAGAAAGGTCTTTTGGGTTATGTCTGAAGAGACTTCCCGGACAATAATTAATAATAAGGACCCTTCACTAATCGCTTGGAAATACAACCAACCAAAAGAGACATCTGGTACATCCCTCTCAACTAAATTCAACTTACGAACGCTCTTGTACTTTTTGCATGGACATTTCATCTACATCCTCTTACAATGTCACTGGATAATACATTAACCACTAAAAACAATTTAATAATGAAATTATTGGACGCTGTACCAAAAGTTTAACCTTAAACTAGTTTACGTTGAAATCTTGCCAAATGCTGGTCTTTTATTTACGACCCAATTCTTAACAAGTTTGCAACAAAAAAATAATTATCAAAGTTTTATTTGGAGCGGTAAATTTACAAAATTGGCTCATCTTTTATGCACAAATGTCTCAATACTTTGTAATTATTTAAAAAAATATTTTACCGAAAGTTTTGTTTCCAGTTTGATTTATTTTACGTATAAATTATACTTAAAGGAAAAAAATAAGCTGCTGTTTATAAAAATTCATGAATAAATGGCAAAGTTATGAATTTTTCAGTGGAACACCAAAATTCAGTTTTTAGAGAATTTTTACCTTTTTTCTTCTTTTTATTGAATATTAAACAATAAATATTGAACATTGAAGAAATTGAAAGTTTTATTTTGTTGTAATAAGCATAGGTTTAAAAAAACTCTGACTCCTTCTTAGTTTTTTGTTGCTTTCGTATTTCGTTTCTTGTATGAGGGACCAAATGTAATTACTAGGGATAGGATTTTATTTATTTTCCATTTTTTCAACCGATGTAACTATTTGAAAACCAATAATGCCAAAATGTGTTTTAAAAGATTTTCTTTTATATAAACCTAACTTATTTTCACCTTTTTTACCTTTTTTGGAGGTTTTTGCTTTAAACTACCTTTTTTATACTTTTGTTATCTATTTTTTTTAACTTATTTTCACCTTTTTTACCTTTCTTGGAGGTTTTTACTTTAATCTACCTTTTTATACTTTTATCAGTTTATTAAGTGGCAAACGGCATAATCTTACGTCTCAAAATATAGAAAAGATTTTTATTTGTTACTCAAGTAGTAAAGTTACATAGTGGGTAAATATTAGGTATTCCATATTTTTTAGTTCCTTCTTGCTTTAAGTTATATAAAAAGTTTTATTTTATGTTACTTTATCGTTTGTTACTCTAGTAGTAAATTTGGTAAATATCAGGTATTCCCTGTTATATTTTCAGTTCCTTATAGATTTAATTAAGTATTGGTCAGTTTATAAAAAAAATATTTTATGTTACTTATTTTATAAAAATAAACGAAACTTGAAGTTTTAATGTTTTAATGCTTTTTTTACTACCTTTTTAGTTACCAATTTTAAGTTTTTAGTACCTAAATATCCCATCTTTAGTAATCACCCATCATTTGCTGGTGGAAACGTTCTCCGTGCTCATCACTTACGTCGCCCAGATTTTACACTTTCTATTAACTAAATAAAACCATGAAAAAAATACCTTTTTGAAATATCAAAAAAATGTAAAATGTCACTATGCCAACACGAGAAACAAAACATATTACAAAATAAAAAAAAAATTAAATAAAAATCGTCAAAAAGCTGAATTTTGGTCTCCCACTAAAAAATTCATAATTTCGCCATTTTTCCATATATTTTTATCAACATTAGCTTGTTTTTTTTTTGTAAAAATGACAGCTTCAGGAAAAAAATTCAAACTGGAGTTATCTGTTTGATTAAAACCTTTCCCAGGACGATATGTAAATTTTCGACCTCAATTTCTGCCATAAAAACGAATTTTTTAAGTTATTTAATTGTGCTTATGTTTTTTGTGTTTATTTATATAGATATGTGTTAATTTTTTTTAGGAAATTGATCAATAAAGCATCATTTCTTATCAAAATTCTTTTCTATTTCTATAATATACTTATATACTTATATATAATTACTTATTATAATAAATTTACTATTTAGGCCAATCTGGTGTACTCAAAAGTCTCTGGATCGTAAGTGTAAATAGGTCCTCTTATGGTAGGTACATTTTGGTACTTTAACTTAGCACTATACTCCATCTTCTGCTGATTGTCAAAAGTGTTGTACACTACTCTTTGCAAAACTCCATTTGGATGATATATGTAGTAAGCACCCTGCTCTGAAGCATCATTTAATTCACTTAGTTGAGCTTCGGTGGTAGCTTCGGTTTCGGTGATGGTTTCAGCTGCTTCAGTCGTCGTCAAACTCACTTCAGCTTCAGCTTCAGTGGTGGTGCTTTCCTTGGGTGGGCCGTATTCTTGCATCGGTTCTGGTTGTTGTGTGGGTGGTCCGTACACCGTGTGAGGTACTGGTGGTAAGGGTTCAGCTTCGACACGTTGAAACCTCGTAAAGGATCTAGGCGGCGCAGCTGCGGTTACACTGCAGATCAAGAAGACTACGAAGGCAGCTGAAGACAACATGTTTGTTATTAACCAATCGAGTTTGCTGATTGTACTGATGTTATTGTGTGTTGCTTCGGTTTATATATTAAGTTTTCTAAGCATATTCGGGTGTGAAGGTGAATTTTCGTGGTTTTTTCAATGGCAGCATACCAAATTTAATATTTCATTATAAATTCATGTCATGTATTCTTTGTTGTTCTTATTAAGGTAATACAAATTTTACGAGTAATAAACAAACTTTTTGTTTCATGTTGAAGGAAAACCAATAAAGAGAGCAAACAGTTTCGCAGAAAGATTACTCTCTCAAAAAGGAGATTTTAGTTTGTGGCTTCAAAATGATTTAAAAGTAGCTCATGATATTAAACGCATATACAATATACATAATGTAAAGTAATGTGATATCAACTTTGCTTTTTAAAATAAAACCATATAAATATTATATGCAGAAACGTTGATTTATTTATATCAACTGATTTACCCATATCCAAAGATTTGTAGGTTATCTTACATATACTTAAATATGTGTTTATTACATTATAAGAGTATAACATTTTTAAAATGTATTATTAAATATACACATAATAGTTATTTATGTATTAAGGGCATAATAAGGTTTTTATGGTCCGAGGCGCTATTTCGAGCCCGAGCGCGTTAGCTTAAAGCCTCTAAAAAGAACAAAGAAATTTTGTTGAAGTTGGTAGAAATTTTATTTAAGGGTTTGTAAAAGATTAATTAATTATATTTTGCTCTTTTACCTATTCGTTAACAGGTACCAATAACACCTTTTTAGGCATTTGGGCAAGGGAAAAAAGACATTTAAAATTTGTGACAAGAATATAAAAAAATTAAGAAACAAACTCTAGAGGATATATTAGGAGGGAGCTATACGAGGTGTGTTCAGAAAATAACGGGAATTGTTAAATTTCGCAGGTTCAGAGGGTCCGGTTGTCATACAATTTTCTTTATTATGTTGGTATACATGCCCCCGAAGTATGATAAAAACTTGACGTGTTTTATGAGCTCGGCGATTTTCGTTCGATAAAAGAAATAGATCAAGGAATTTGTATCCAATTTTGCTTAAAAATGAAATAAATTCTGCGAAATGTTAACAAAAGCCCATAGTGAGTCTGCTATAAGTAAAACAAGAGTTTACAAGTGGTATAAGAACGCACAAGCACATTAACAACCGATAAAAACATGAAAAAAGTGGAAGAAATGGTTATAAACCATCAGAGAAGTCGCTGATCATGTTGGTATATCGATTGGCTCATCCCATGAAATTTTTTCGAATGTTTTGGGTATGAAACACGTGGCAGCAAAATTTGTTCTAAAATTGTTAAATTTTGAACAAAATTTTTGGCCAAAAACAATACTGTAATGATGCCCCAGCCTCCATATTCGCCAGACATGCCTCTGTCTGACTTTTTCCTAATCCCAAAAATAAAGAGAACCTTAAAGGGCCGTCGTTTCGCAAGCATAGATGACATTAAAAGCGCATCGCTGAAAGAACTAAAGGCTATCTCAAAGATCGAGTTTTAGAAGTGTTTCGATCAATCAATCATTTTAAAGGGTGAAGGTAAAATACATTTTTTTGTCATAAAATATTTATTTATCTATATTAAGGCAAGATCTACAGTCTTCTGAGTACAAGGTTATCGTTATCGTATGTGTAAATGGGACCGCGTATAGGTTCAACAACTTCGTACTTCAACTTGGCAGAAAACTCCATTTTGCCTGTATTGTCCTTGGTATTGTAAACAACTCTTTGTAGAACTCCACTTGGATGGTAGATGTAGTAAGTTCCTTGTTCATTGTTTGAAGTAAGCCTACCGTTCCTTTCATTTATCAAAGGAGTTACTGTTTCCACCTCATTAATATTTTCAGTGGTGGTAGTAGAAGAAACAGATTCTGTAGCAGGCGGGCCGTATTCTTGTTGAGGCTCTTGAGGTGGGCCATATTCTTCCTTTGGTGGTCCATATTGTACTGGAGGTTGATCAGTCTGTTGAGGAAGTGTGAATACTTCTCCTGAAGGGGTCCATCCTGATTCTCTATAAGGAGCTTGTGCAACTTTTTGAAACTTTGAATTTCCTCTGGGTTGTTCCGCAAGAACACCAACTAGGACCACTACTAGAGCTGCGCAAAACTTAATCATTGTACTATTGCAAACAACTGTTAACTGATACGGATTAGATATTTAATTGCCTTTATATATCAATAAAACATTATAATTTAGCAATGACCTAATGTTACATATTGCACGGTAGTTTTAAATTTTAAATTTAATTCCTAATCTGAATATCAATGAGCGAAGTAAAGTGAATTTTGCAACATGTAAAATACCATATACAATACATATAGCAGTTATTCGGGGTAATTTAACACACTACAGAAATGTTTCGAGTTTTTAGGCTACCCATAATGCGAATAACTGAGCAAGAAATATTTCGGTTATTACTACGAATATTCAAACAATTACATAATATGAGTTGTAACGGTATCGTAGATATCCTGCATAGAGCTTAAAATTGTTTTAATGCCCTATTAAGTTTTAAGCGCATCTCAACAATCTAACAAACAATACACATAGTTTTGTTTTAAATAAAGAGAAAATTACAGAATTAAAACATGATTTTTATTTTATTGATTTAATAACAATTTTTATCTATTTTTAATAACTTTGTTAAAAATTATCACATTTTTGCTTGTCCCATTAGCGTTTTATAAAACTTACATACATGTTTTTTTTTTAATATTGAATAACCAGAACTTTATGTTGCTTTATAGCAATCCATAACATCCTTAGTTAATACAGTAAACAATTTATATATAAAATAATTAATTTTAATCTAATTTTTTTAAAATTTGACTCTTGTCCCAGACATTTTTTCCGTTGCGTTACGTCCGTCGCGTTACCGATAGAATATTAAAAAAACATATATATTGCAACTTTTTTGGTACTCACGTGATCAACAAATGATGTTCGGACGTACACATTACCCAGCTGAATTTATTTATTTAATCAGGAAGAAACAGGTGCGGGTAACGCGATGTATAAAAATAAGGTAAGAAAAAATACTATTTTTCATGTATATGTTATTTTAGGGCACTAAAGCTCTAAAGCTATAATACCTTATGGTAACGCAATGGAATTTAGGGTATCGCAATAGAATTTTGCGACAACAAAATGGTATTTACCGTCGCTTTTATTAAAAGTAGTTTATGATAAACCAATTTAAAATTATTTGTAATTACAACTCATGATATAGATTACATCCAAGGAAAAATTCCACGCAATATAAAAGTACTAAAAGGGACCTTCACCAGCTTATAGTCAAAGAAAAAGGGTGTCTACAATTTAGAAATCTAAGTTGTTATTCTGCAAGTGAGCACCACTACAAGGAATATTGTTTATGCATTACTCTAAAATCGTACCACCCTATGTAGTTTCTTTTTTACGTTATCTGATTAAGTCCTTTGTGTACCCCTGTTTGTTGTGATGCCAATGTCTATTTCGTTACTTTTTTAGTTTTTGTTAAAAAAAATACTTAAATTGATTTTTATACACTATCACTTGGTAATACGTGTTTATAATTAGAGTTTAATTGACTAATACAGTGCACTGCCTGTCTTAAATGTAAGTAAACAAAACTCTAAACATTTATAAAAATCCAACCAAAAGTCAATTTAAGCAAAAAAATATTTTTATCTTTATTTTCCTGAAAGCGGGTGTTTCTTGAAAATGACCCTTGGAAGTATATGATATATTAATTTTTATAAGGTTTTAATAATTAAAAAAAAGAATATTAATAAATACAACGTTTATTTTAATAAATAAATATTACACAATTAAGGCCAAATTTACATATAATACAATTTTGATAAATAAATATTAAAACAACATTCAGACTTTCAATCTTTCCAGTTTCAAAGTTTCCGAGTTATAAGTGTAAATAGGATCCCTGATAGGTTCAACATTTTGATACCTTAACTTGGCAGAATACTCCATTTTCTCCATGTCGTCTTTAGTTGCATATACTACTTTCTGAAGCTGTCCGTTGGGGTGGTAAATATAGTACACACCCCTTTCCACGAATTTCTCGTTTTTGCTTTGAAGCTTAGCGTTTGGCGGCATGGTGGTGGGGATTTCAGTGGTTACAGCTTCGGATTCCGAGTCTGTTGAGTTTGGTGGCCCATACTCTTGGGATGGAGGACCGTAGCTATCCTTGGGAAGGCTCGATGGAGATTCCAGTCTTCCTCCGGTAACGAAGTTGATAGCTTCTTTGTTTGGAAGCTGGATTTTTCCCGATGGGTTCGACGCAGCTTCAAATTTGGCAGTGCTCCAGAAGTTAACAGCCTGTTTGCTTGGAAGTCTTTCAGCTACAATTCTGCTTGGTAACCTAAAAGGTGCAGCTGGTTTCCAACCTGATGGCTGATACGGCGGCACCTCATACACTTCCACTTGCTGAATTTCCACGTTGGGTTCAGAATTGATGTTTCTATAGTCTTGCGAAAGAACAGCTGATACAGCCAAAGTTATCATAAGGAATACTTTCATGTTGCTTTGCTTTAGATGCACTTGAAGGGAGTGATTATTGATTTATAAATGAATGGTATTTATATGTGTAATATAAAATCGATTAAAGGTGACATTGGCCCTAATAAATTATTAAATTTACAAAGGTCCGCCAGAATGACGCGTCACGTAAAGACGAGTCGCTGTCTGAATTATAAATGATGATATTAAAATAGGTACTGCAAATTTTATTACAGCTGTTGAGTAACTTTGTTTTACCAATTAATTATGGTTATTTCTTAATTAATCTAGACTAGAACTCAATTGCCTATTGCGTATAGGTTGCATTTATTCAATCGTAAAAATGTATCATAAAAAATGATACATTATTCGGAAGTTGGGGTTAAACTATAGCTTTGCCATAAATTATAAGGGTTTGGGAGAGTGTCGACATATATATATATCATTTTGTAACAAAAGAAATGTATTTTAGCAATTAATCAAAAAACTGTTATTTTCGTATGATAAAAGAAACTCATTTATACACCCAATAAATTGTCATCATTAAAGGATGACAACTTACACTCACAGGCAAAATAATCGATCCACACAAATTTTCGATGAATTTCAATGGCAAATAACTTTTTTATATGATGTCGGATTTAAACGAATATTAAAGAATATAGTAGATAAATTAATGGACAATCGCTCACATTTTAAAAAATTACTAAAAAATAGACGTACGTTTATAATATACAGGTTTAAACAAAAAGATGATTTTTACCATAAGTTTAAGACACTCTGTAGAGTGGCAAAACCGTATATTGTTCTAAATTAAGTTTTATTTATCAAGTCACATCTATTCTTAACAGTTTTATTTTTGGTTCACCTCGATATATTTATTTTTGTGAAAAATATGGATTTTTTAAAAAAACATTGCAATTTCCAATATTTTTCTGTATGAAAAACTAAGGTTGCTACGGTCCATCCATAGGCTATGGAGAATGACAGTGACAGTTTTGTTGAATCATCCCATACTCGGACATGTCATACACGGCTTTCAAAAGCTATCAAATTGTTTTTTGCAAATTAATGTTTAAATTTTGAGGTGTCTTCTTACTTTAAAAAATGGATATGTCTCCGACTGAAGTTGCCAGAGCCATTGATTTAATCCAGGATGGACGGTCACAGTATTACGTGGCAAGTATTTTAAACGTCACAAGAAGTAAAGTACAAAGGGCAACATCAGTCGGAGACATTTTTAAAAGTAAGAAGATACCTCAAAATTAACACATTAATTTACAAAAAACAATTTGATGGCTTTTGAAAGCTGTATCCCAGTAAACACATACACGTTTTTTAAACGTATTTAAAACGTGTGAAAGGTCAATAAAACGTTTTACGTGTAAAAAGCAACGGTTTGATATTGGTATAAATTTACACCAATTAATTTAAACGTTAAAACAACGTTAATTTAAATATGCTTTTTAATAGTGCCTAACTTTTACGTTACAATAACGTTGTATTAAGGTGTTCAGTCAACCATATATTTAAAGGTTTAATTTAAACGTTAAAACAACGTTAATTTAAATATGATTTTTAATAGTGGCTAACTTTTACGTTACAATAACGTTGTATTGAGGTGTTCAGTCAACCATATATTTAAATGTTTAATTTAAACGTTAAAACAACGTTAATTTAAATATGCTTTTAATACTGACTAACTTTTACGTTACAATAACGTTGTATTAAGGTGTTCAGTCAACCATATATTTAAATGTTTAATTTAAACGTTAAAACAACGTTAATTTAAATGTGCTTTTTAATAGTGGCTAACTTTTACGTTACAATAATGTATTAAGGTTTTCAGTCAACCATACATTTAAATGTTTAAAACCCACAATTTTTTTTCACAAATATTAATGAGAAAATAACGTTTGAAGTAATTATTTTATGAACTGTGCAGGCAGCTCTTTCTTTTAACATTTATATTTATGTTATATTCAACACGCTCCATCAAACACTTTTAAAATTACTTTTTATATATTTATTTTGTGAAATTTTTGCTTAGTTTACACATGTAGACAATATGACTTCTTATTTAAATTCTGAAGGTATAAAATCTAAGAATTTTGTTTGTTAAAAAAATGAATTATGAATGAATGTTAAATGAATAATTTAACTTTTTCACTTTTACAAAAGTATATTTTTATAACGTTAATAAAACGGTTTTTGTCAAATACAAATATACCTACTTTCATCCATATCGTTTTTCTCTAAAATGGGATAACTTGTTTAAAAATAATTTATAACGTTTAATATTTAATAAACTGATGCAACATGTATACATACATAAACAATATACATAGGTAATACCTATTAGGTATACATATATAAAACAACATTAAATGAAATTTAGAAATATTCTAATTACATTCTAAAGAATAGCATAAGCTATAGTCAATGGTCATACAGTAAGCTTTAGGCAGAACACTATACACATACACAAATGTTGCTTTAAGAAGTGCATTATTTTATTAACATTCTTTAAACTAGACAGTTACTGTAATAGTTAAAAATAACGTACTTAATACGTTTAAACAAACGAACTTAATACGTTGAAACAAACGTATTTAATACGTTTAAACAAACGTACTTAATACGTTTAAATAAACGTATTTATTACGTTTATACATAACCATATAAAACGCATAACTGAAGAACGCAATCTGATTGGCCGAATACACATCATGTGTTTGGCGCTGCCAATGGCAGGCTGCCATGCCATAGCTGCTCGCTACGTCAGTTTTCAATTTGATTTTGCTATCAAAAGGTGGATTTTTTTAAGTGTTTTCTGCTCGTAAGATTCGTCCTGCTTTTGGTAAGTACTTTAATGTAATTGTTTTAAAACATACACACTGTTAATATCACGCAGATTCATTGCTTTATTTCCTAATTTTCGGGGGAGTGTGATTTTGTTCTTATTATAATTTGTGCAGCGTCCTAGAATAATATAAGAGTTAATATGTTAATTTTAAAGACGTTTTCTACGTGTTTTCAATGTTTATTAAGTATAGTGGGGTAGGTAAATATTAACTCACACAAATTAACATTAAGTTAACATTAAACTGATTTAGGTTAAACTCAATAGTCATAAATGTACAGATGTTAAAATTATGGAAAGTGTCCATTATTTCCAAATTTAGGGGCGGTCGTGTATTTTTACCGTAAATTGGAATTAGGCGTGATTTTACTAGAGAATTCTCACTTAAGTCGGCTCGATAAGATGATTTGCTATGGTTATAGATCTATTCAACAAGACCTGGTGTACGTATTGTAAATTAGTATTTTGAGAACACTCTTATTATACCGGGTGCGCTAAAAATACCATTTTTTTTAAGCAAATTTCAGCCCCGCGATATTCTACAATACAAATTTTTGAATTTAATCTGTTGAACAACAAAGCCAGCTGAAAACAAGCTTTTTAAGCCATTTTTTTTTAATCTTATAGGGTTTTTCGAAAAATTAGTCTATTTTTCATCGTTTAACAAATTTCTTTTTTGTGTTTTAGAAGCAGCTAAATTTTCCAGCGAACGATAAAAATGATTCACCTGAAGACGACTGGAGATACCTCCAAAACCTTTCCTTCATTTAAAAAAATCATTTTCTACAACCTGTATTCATGTTGCAGTTAACGTTAAACGAACGTTTAATAAATACGTTGTAAAAACAAGTATTTGTGGAGTTTTATTTATTATAGAACTAACGTTAGAAAGGACATTAATATGAATTTAAATATAACGTATAGATAAACGTTATAAAAGAGGCAAAAACAATCATTAATTTACGTTATTAATAGACGTATAATAAACGTTCTAAATGTACCATTTCGAAACGTGTAATGATCGTTTTCTTAACGCCAAAATTAAACGTTTATTTATTAGTATTGTTAAACGTTATAATCTGCGACATTTTAAAGTTGATTGTACGTTATAAATATACGTAAAAACAAAATGGTGTTACGGTTTAAAAAAACGTTTAATTAACGTATGTGTGTTTACTGGGATATGACATGTCCAAGTATGGGATGATTCAACAAAACTGTCACTGTCATCCTCAAAAAATATTGGAAATTGCAATGTTTTTTAAAAAAATCCATATTTTCCACAAAAATAAATATATCGAGGTGAACCAAAAATAAAACTGTTAAAATAGATGTGACTTAATAAATAAAACTTAATTTAGAACAATATACGGTTTAGCCACTCTACAGAGTGTCTTAAACTTATGATAAAAAACATTTTTTTGTTTAAACCTGTATATTATAAACGTACGTGTATTTTTTAGTAATTTTTAAAATGTGAGCGATTCTCCATTAATGTATCTACAATATTCTTTAATATTTGTTTATATCCGAAATCAGATAAAAAAGTTATTTGCGATTGAAATTCATCGAAAATTTGTGTGGATCGATTATTTTGCCTGTGAGTGTATTTTGTGACACCCTGTATCTAATCCAATTATTTCTTTTGCAGGTAAGGCTATTAAGAGTTCTATAGCAAGGGGTGAGAAGTCTGCCATCTTATGGCATGGAAACGGTGACCAGGGTAAATAACAATATTCATTACGCACCCGGTAAAATGTAAAGTTGCGCCTCCTTTCTGCGAATCTATGATTTCCCTTGGGACTTTTCTCCGCTAAAAAACGACAAGTCTCCGGGGCATGATTGGTGCATTTCTGCCACTGTTGAACACAGGTAAATTCGGTTTTATTACTTATTCATTTTGCTTTGCTTACTGGGTTTTGCAATACAATTTACAAACACTAAGTCTTATAAGAACCTCACCAGTGTTAGATCTAGTCTAAGTTGTACAAAATAGATTATTTTATATATTCACTAACCTAAAAATAACTTTAAATAACCTAGTCAAAATAAATGTTTTTTTTTGTTTTTTAAATATTCGGGAAGGAGTAATTTATTGATCTATACACGGTAATAAAGCCTAAGTGCGGCTTTACATTTACCTAAGGACCTTATAAAGTATGTCATCAAAAGCTTGTAAAAGTCAACCGTGGTCTTTTTACTACTCTTTGTAATATTTTCTGGATTATTAACCAATTTTGTTAAAAAATCCTTAAACGTTAATTACTTTAATAAATCTTTCATAAAACTACGAATAATGTTAATAAATCAAGTAGTTTTTTAAATTATGACTTTATAAAACTGCGATTTAAACAAATATGGATGATTATACAGGGTGGAGGAAAGGAGTGAAGAATAGACAATATTTGAAACAATTATTGCTTAACTTACAAAGATACCTTATATTTAATCAAAAAGTAAATATTGTATCGTCAAGAATTATAAAATTTGTATCCAAAAATACTTATTCTTAAATTAAGCATAGTGTTTATTTTAACTTTAACATTGAAATTATAGCCAAATAAGTATGGGTTAGTTCTTGCATTCAACTCCCTATATCCTTTAAATAAGTATTAATTAAAATTAGAAATAAGAATAAATCAATCCTTATAAGGATTGATTTATTCTAATAAAAATAATAATAAATAATAATAAAAATAATAATAAATAATAATAAAAATAATAATAAATAATAATAAAAATAATAATAAATAAAAAAATAAATAAAAATTATTAAAAAATTATTAATTTTTTTGGTTAGAATGTTCAGACTTGTTCTATCAAGTAATTACTAACAGTTTAGTCTCATTAAAATTCTTCAACCGTTGGGGTACTATCGTAAAAATGTATTCAACTTTTGACGCGGTCTAGCACGTGATGTGAAATTTGCCTTCGTTTTAGACCGAACAGTTTAATGTTTGTTTTTTTGCAAGGTTTTGTTTTTGGATGGAAATTAAGTTTTGTGTCATGGAGAAAATATCTTGTCTTGATTTGTTTATTTGAATTTTTTTAATTATCCATGTAATGATATTTTTTGTCAAAACCAAAATGCCTAAAAGTCTTATATACCACTGAAACCTTGACATTTAAGCGTACTTTATATAAACAACCAGGATTATCTACACGGAGAGAAAAGTATAATGCTGAATACCATAATTATAATACCCTTTACTATAATTTATATTACTCTTTGGGACAACTATCTTGTATATTGCCAGATACTATGCATATTTAGTATTTTTTAAATATCCATGTATGTTAAACGTTAAGGTAAAATATTATTATTCTCAACCAATTTTGTTTTTAATTCTTATTATAATTAGATTTTTTCCATAACTGATGAGTATAGTAAATTTTAAAATATTGTTGCTATTTTAAATATAAAATATTTTAAAATCGAATATTTTTATAAGTTGGCAATTAAAAATTGTAACATATTTATTGTACTTTTTAATATAAAAAATGTTATGAGAAAGAATTGAACCTACAACTCGCCAAAGTTTTTTGTTTTGAGTGCGTTCCATCAACTTCAAATACCGACAGACAGGTGTTTTGACCTATATTGGGTATCATCAGTGTCGACACGACACTGTCGAGCAACTTGTAGTAGTGGAACACACCCAAAACAAAGAAATACCTAAGCTTATATAACATGATTGGTAAGTCAACAGAGGCGAGATGTAAGAACATCACGTGATCCACACCGTCTAACGACGCGTCGCGACGTGGCCTTTGCCGCAATCGGTACATACTATGCAACCAAGTAGGTTCAATTCTTTCTTATAAGTATTACCAGTAATGGGTCAAGAAAGTTTATTAAAGAAACTAAGAAAATTAAATGTTTAAAATGTCATAAGTTACTATATTGTATATTATATTTAAATATATTGTTTATTTGCCTTAAACATAAAAGTATCTTTATTTTTACTATATATTTTTTTAATGTGTAATATATTATACTATTAGATGTACACCTTACATTTGATTAAATCATATAGTAAATATTAATATTTGTAGATAATAAAATCAATTTACTATACGAACATATTAAAAATTAAAATATATATTATACATTTATGATTTAGTAATATTGGTGTTGTAATCTTTACTAAAATTGTATAATAAAAATAGTATTTTGTATTACAATCTGAATATTGTATTTCAATATTTCAATTCGTCAAAACGAATATATAATATTGTTACCCTAAAAATTTGTAGTAGTAAATTTTACTATATTTTTTTTACTATCTAAAATTTACTATACATTTCTCTCCGTGTATAAAAACAACCAGGACTATCTACTTAAAAAAAATTGAATCGACAAGATAAAAATAGATGTTTATAAAAAGCATTTCAATCCTTAAAGTTCTAGTTAAGGATTCAGCTCGCGTTGCGCAACCACTGCAGTGGGTCAAAGTCGCGAGTCCCAACCTTTGCCACCGGAAAAAAGACAACATTGCGAAAGAAGCATATAAAGAAAATTTGAGCGGAGAACGAAATTAGTCAGTTTTTGTTCAGCAGATCGAGATGAGGTTTTTAACGATATTAGTGCCGGTAATTGCGGCGGTTACGTGCGATGTTGCCAATTTTCCGCCAATTTTCAGTCCACCATACGCTAAAATTCGCCACCAGCCTTTAAGGGAGGAGGGATTACCAGAGTTAGACATGAAAAGTGATTTAGGTGAGAAAATGTACAAATATAAGTTTTTATTTCCACGCGGTCTATAATTTAAACTTTATTGTTGTCAACATTCCATAAAGAAATACCTTGTTATGGCCTAGGCCGATAAAAAATTTTATGAGGCAAGTAATTAGTTCGATTTTTTCTCGCTAGGGGTATTGTTTTGACAAATTAATCCTAAGAAATTAACGTACTAAACTGTTTTAATTTATTTATAATAAGCACTAATTTGTTTGTTTTACTGTTAATGTTTAATATTTTTCATTAAATTATTGTAAAATTAAATATGAATAATAAAACAAAAAGTGAGGTTAGGCAACCAAGAAAACGCACGATTCTTTTTCTACGATTTAAATTATCTTTAAGTTTTATTTTAATTTTTTAAATAAAAATCCAAACATTTATTATTATTTATTAAACAATTAATTGAATTCAATGTAATAGCAAAAATCCATTTCTACTTAAATCATTTAGCTAGGTATTGTCAAACTATTACTGCTTTAAAAGCAATAATAATTATTGTACATTTAATGTAACCTTTAGCTAATAAATAAATGAGATTCTAAAAAAGTGAGGTTAGGCCGCTTTGATGTTGAATTAAATTGACCTATATAAAGTGCTTTGAAGATAAAATGTTGTATGCCATTCGGCCAAGAAGTGCCTTTTTGTGCTTCGCTCAATTGTAGGCCGACGCGTAGCTCAAAAAGCCTTACTTCTTAACCTAATGACATAAATAACTATTATTAAAATTAAATTTTTTTAAAGGTTAAGTATTTCTGTTTTTTTTTTCGTGAATAATGATAAACATTATGAATTCTCTGCCTAACAAGGGAAACAATGAACTCATTATTCACGGTGTTATGTCTATAGACCGATGGCCGATTTCAATATTCACTGTGATTTCAACCAATCGGGTTTTAAATTGAGAGACATGTCAGATTGTATTTATTTATTTTTGAAAATCATTTAATTATATTAGTTTACAGCCATTTTGCACATTTCTTACTATGATTTTATTGTGTAGTTTGGCTCACCAAACGCGAAAATCACACTTAAATTTTTTTCATGGAAGCGTTTTTGAGGTATGGATTTTCAATTGTTTTTTTTTTAATTTTCTAAGGTGTTGTGACGTTTTAGAGTATACTTCGAGTTCTTATTAATCTATTTGACCAAACAAGCACTTAAATCAAAGGTAATTGAGCCCTCTACAACTTTCTTTTGTATAGTTTTGGTATCGGCTCAGTAGTGGCGATTTTATGAAGTTGAAAAAGTCCATTTTTTTTTTACAAATATCGAAGTCGAAAATTTAAATATCCAAAAATCATGCACTTTATTTAGGTTTTCATTAAAGAATAAATATATTACAAAATAAAAAAAATTAAATAAAAACCGTCAAAAAGCTAAACTAAAGGGTGGGCCATGTTTATGTTGAATTATAAAATAGCAATGAGATTTTTTTTCAACGAATTTTGCTTTATTTGATAGAATGTTTCTTCCGATTAAGTATGGAAAATGATTTTATTTAAGTGCCACCTCAGCTGGCTCAGCAGTAGCCCATCCTGGAACACCAATTTTCGAGCACTTTGTCAAAAGTTTGCTGCTCTATTTAGGCAATTTGAGCTTGAATGTTTTGTTTTAAATGGTGAACAGGCTTTGTTACGGCGACGTGTGGATTTTCCGTGGCCCAAATCCTACAGTTTTGCTTGTTGACATAACCTCCGAGGTAAAAATGCGCGTCATCCGAAAAGATGATTTTTCTTGCAAAATTAGGGTCATCGTTTAACTGGTTTAAAGCCCACTCAGCAAAGCGAAAACGTTGTGGATGGTCAACTTGCTTTAACTCCTGAACAAGCTGGACTTTGTACGCAAACATACCGAGGTCTTTGTGCAGAATCATCCTCAGAGTGGTACGGGAAAGGCCGAGTTGTTGACATCTGCGCCGAGTTGATGTTGACGCGTTCATGCGTACATTTTCGGCCACAGCACCGATTGGTTCAGGTGTACGTCTAGGACGAGCATGCGAAACATGTTTTATGTCTCCCAGCATTCCATTTATGCGCAATTTTTTTATCAAATTTGTAATACTTTGGTTTGACGGCGCCTCATTTCTTCCAAACGCAATTTTCTTGCCGTCTCTGCGATCACAGTTACATGCAAAGTAAGTTTTGAGTATTTCGAAACGTTGATCCAAATTTATTCGGTGCATATTTTGTAATCGGAAGGTTAAAACTAAACCACTGTCAGCAATTCATGGCGCTTAAGTTGAAAGCTTCATTAATAGCACGTAGTTTAAAATTCAACTTATAGATGGCCCACCCTTTAGTAATATCTACACTTAATAACATAAAACCATTTTTAATTGATTTGATTTTTTAGGTCGATCCAATTATTTTCCGGCTGAATAGTAAACTAAATATTATTATTACTTACCGTATAATCAAAAAACGATTAGACCATTTATTCGACCTAAATTGCTACGCAACCAAAGAAAATACGACGTTTCTTATTGTACTTAAAACAAAAGCCCCATTTTCCCGTTTTTAATCCTTCTTTTTATGGCTTCGGTCGCTATTTGTTTGCATTGTCAAAAGAAGACGTTAATCATCATAAACTTTCAGCGCTTGCCGAAAGTTACTAAATAATGCCACCTAAATTTCTGTTTCAATGAGTTTAGATTGTTTTGAAAATTATAAAAAAAATTATAAATTTAAATGATTAAAAAATCTACATGGGACTTAACATTTTTAGGTATAATTTAGACATTTTGTTTTAAATTTCCCAAATTTTTGTAATAATAAATTACACTATGATAGTTTTATAAACTTTTTTCTACCTTAAATTAATTAAATCGTATCAAATATCGAATTGAATTATAGTATTATTGTGCTTAATCCTCATCATCGTCGTACATCTTTTGCTGCAAATTCCAGCAAATGTCTCCTAGCAATGAATCCAACTTCTTTCCGCTATACCCATAGATATCTACCAATGGTGTAGATTTGCAATTACTTGGTGAAATCGTTCTCCATGTTCATCAGTTCGGCAAATTTATCAGGAAGAAAAAAAAAGAAAATGTATTTTAAATGACATATTACCCCTAATTCTTTGCAAAACGGAAAGCATTTTTTCAATGAATTGCCGCCAATTTTAGGCCCGATATGAACCAAGAACATTTTCAATGACAGCTTTAACACTGCCATATGCGACAAGCTCGTCAACTTTGAGAGCATTTTTGAATGCTTGATCTTTCATTAAACGTCGTATATCAGGTCCATTTAATATTCCTGCAAAATTAAAGTAGTAGGTATATCTCATAAAATTCTGTGATGAAATATTGCGTTGGTTTTTCTTGGGCGTAAAGGTACCGCAACAAAAACAAAACAAATTTACAACGACGACATAAATGTTCGTCTCCTTTCTCTTTCTCTGCTACTTCCATTACCACTTGCATATCTTGCTCTTTTTTCATTTTTGGTTCTTAAAATCACTTTCAAGTAAAAATACAATTTAAAGTTTAAATTTTAAATGTCAATAATTAATAGTGTGCTTGAACGATAAAGTTGATAAAGGCGCCTTTATACTTCAATTCGATATTAAATTTTGATAAGACTTAATAAATAAGATTCGAGATTAAATTTTTGGGTACTTTAGGCATAATGTGAATAAAAACATATCAAATAATAGTCGAAGAGTAATGCTAATAACGAAACCCATTTACTTTGTTGCTTTTTCAATTTAATTAGGATTTAAAAAAACGACAAAAAAAAATATAAAAAATTATACTTTTTACCAAAAAAACATTGTAACTTTAGTTTCAGTATTTAATACAGCACTTCTCTACAGAAAAGTCTTTTATTAAATATCCCTTATATAATACTACTATAGTATACGGCTACAGTGGAACAAACAAAATTTCTATTTGACATTTATCTATGGATGACTTTGTATGTATATTTTTGACAAAAAACGTCAAAAATATACTGAACATCCAAAATAGATTAAAGTCAAAATAATGTAATAAATACATAGTAAAAAATATTTGACAATTTACAATTGATTATTTCCCTCATTATAATATGAACCAATCAAAAGCCTTGAATTTTCGAATAAATTTCGTTTAAATAAGTGATTAAATCACTAGAACTATTTAACAGCGATTAAATTTTAGCCTCCATATTGGATTTTTGTTTACGATTTTATGGTGTTATTTACAAGTTTTAAGAAACATTTTTTAAAAAAGAATAAAAAATATGTTATCTAGTTTACGAAATATCAATTATTACTTATTACATAACTTAAATTACTGGAATTTTCTTTAAAAAAATATTTATAAATTTTGACACAAACGTCAGATTTTATAAATTGTCAAATAGTTTCCTTTAATTCGAGAAATAATCTAGACGTATATCACTCAACCTATAAATTTATCTGTCAAACTATGCTCAGTAAGTTTTTTATTTTATTTTTCGTTTTGGAAAATAGTTTCATGCAAAATAATTAAAAATAAAACCCCTCGACCGCTACGCGGTCTCGTGATTTTATTAAATTATTTTGCATTCAACATTTTCCAACAAAAACCAAACAAAAAACTACTGAGCCTAATTTAACCGATTAAATTCATAGTTCTCGTGATATAATATATGAATAATTAGTTTGTAATTATAACAAATATTTTCCTTTGTTTAAATAATAACAAATCCTGGTTTTCTACAAAAAATTATGTTAAAATTTTACACAATAAAATAAATACATTTATAAAATGTTAATTAATGAAGTTTTGTTATCTTGCTTGCTCCAATAAAATTCCAGTGAAAAACATTGCATTGTATTTTATTAAATCCATCTTTCGTAATACCCCCAAAAAGAGAAAAAAAAATCCGACGATAATTTGTCTTCATTAACTTGTAGCGGCCGTTTCAGTGGAAAAAAATTCCGAAGAAACAACCGAACATCTGCCATACAACACCACCGAAGCTTCAGCTTCAGCTTCCCTCAGCGAACTCAGCTTCGATCCCGATTCCGAGCAAATTAGTTTCGCGAAAGACAATGCGCGATCTAACAAGGAAAAATTAATGGATGCCGCGGAATTAACGGATCTTAACGAGCGCAGGGTCTACTACATCTACCATCCCACAGGCTCGTTCCAGAAGGTTGTCTATGCGGCCAAGGAGGCGGATGTTGAGACGGAGGAGGCCGGAAGTACGCAGCGGAAGTACGTGTTGCCTATCAGGGAACCTGTTGTCACATACGATCCCAGGACTTTTGTTTTCCAGAGACTTATACGTGTTTAAATCAGTAACATCTGCATAGTTTGTAAGAAAACCGTAATAGTTATTTTATTTATATATTTTAGTATAATAATTATGTAACAAAAATATATGTTATAGAAGACTGATAAATATAAATATTTGTGCTAATTAATAAAAATAACACAATATATGACTTGTTTTATTAAATAGTGTATTGTTTATGAACAAGATTAAATGATTTATAACTTTCAATTTTTAATACCTACCCTCGAGAAAGGTAATTAGCAACCCCTTTGTTTGCAGCTAAGTGGATTTTAATGTGTACCCACCAAACAACATGATTATTGTATATTTTATCATTAGTATCTGCACTGAGGGAAAAATCGAATACCTGTTATGAAAAATATAATACTTCTTTTGTTAAAACATCTTATAAAATCGATATGCTGCCACCATAAAATGATGTTGTAGTGTTTTGTACTACTGCCACGAAGCAAAACCACATAACGTCGAAGGTACATAAGCTCGAAAATAAATTAGGCAACTGTTCAGTCTAAAATTTTCAGTGCTATCAATAATGTAATACATAAAATGTATATCGACATGATAATGATTATTAAATTATATAAGGGGTGCATTTCAACAAGACTGCCCTGCTGGCTAACCTCACTATATACGAAATAATTTAGATATGGACTCTCCTAATAGACAATTTAATTGTGGTTAATTATTTGCTTAGTTGTCTATGCAATAGAATTTCTCGCGGAAGAAGATATTTATATAATTAAAAGAATTGTCCTACTCGTTACGTGTCCGAGCCGACTACCTGAACACTGTTTAGTGAACAGTAATAAGCATAGAAAAAGAATATAAGACGTAATTGAAAATAATCCACAAACTTAACATGAATGTAATTAATGGTGGATTGAAAATATTGTATTGTTTTTTATAAAAACCAATATTTTGGTAAAAAGGATTTTCTTTATTTTTATTTCAATAAATTAGGTAAGGAAAGCAAAACAGGTAAGTAAATAAAATGGCAGCACTGAATTTAAATGCACCGACGTTATTTAATTTCGTTTGGTGTAGTACGTAACACAACCGCACTATGCACTAGCGCAAAAATCAAAATTTTAATTCAGCGAATTTTTCAGTCAGAAAATTCGAGGTACATAATATTTATTCCAAACAATAAAAATAGGGAAATATTATTTTGTCACATACAAGTAGCATTAAATTTATTATCTAAAAAAATAATCGGATTAAAATAAATATGGCAGAAAGATTCTTAAATGAAAATTCGTATTGCTAGATTTAAATAACATAATAATTAATAACAACTATACCACAACTTTATTCCCGTATAAAAATTGTTTTAAACAACAAAATAATTCGTATTAAAAGTAAATATTAAAATTTTTAAAAATAACAATAAAAATAAAATTGTATTCAATTCTTATTAGTCAAATAAAATTTTCAGTAATATTAAAAACATTTAAATAAGTGTTTTAAACAACAAAATAATTCGTATTAAAAGTAAATATTAAAATTTTTAAAAATAACAATAAAAATAAAATTGTTTTCAATTCTTATTAGTCAAATAAAATTTTCACTTATAATACCACAAGAGCTTCAAAATTATCGGGTATTTTTCCCGATAGGTTCGTTGCAAACAAATGAAGGAGTCAAGTTTTTCAGGTTAAAAAATCACGAGCGCGAAGCGCGAGTGATTTTTCCTGAAAAACTTGACGACTTTATTTGTTTGCAGGGAACCTTGAGGGAAATGCCAGATAATTTTGAAGCTCGTGTGGTATTCGGGGGATTATTTTTCCGTCCCAAATGTCGGCCAATAGAATTGCACCATGTACAGTTAACAAATAAGAATTTCATAATGAATAAAACAACATTTAATTAAGATTTAATTTGTTTTTTATATATATAGCAACTACCAGAGAAAATTTTCAAAAAATTATCGCTGTAATTCGCTGTAGGTTCCCTCAACAACAATGCCTCAACAATGTCCCAACAATACAGAGAACTGTCAAAAAAAATAATCAGTAATATTAAAAACATTTAAATATTAAAACAAATATTTCGTGCAAAAATTTGTGTGACGAAGTTTATCACTTTAATTTCCAACAGGTAAATTGATTTTTATGTCGACGAGTAATAATAGAAAATAATTGCGACATAATGATAATTTTAGTATTACTTTTTCTTAAATAAATGTTGCGCACCTTGAATTAACTGGCTAAGAAATTCGATGAATTAAAATTTTGGTTCAATTTGATTACTTTCATTCTTATTCTGTGCTTAAAATTAAAATTGTGTACTTAATATACCAAGACATCATAAAATTTTTACTTTGAAATGTTCAGTCAATTTGAATTAATATTTAGCTTTAATAAACATGACATTAAAAAGTAAAACGGCGTGCCATAACAGTCTTTATGAAACTCGTCTTAACAGTACTGGTTTATATAAACATTTCTTTCAGTGTGCCCATTGGGATGAAGAAATCAATATTTTTAATTACTATTACTTATTTAGTATTTCTATGCAAATCGTCAAAATTCTGTGCAAAATAATTAAAAGCAATTAACATAGATAGGGTAATAAAACATTTGCCACCACCAAGGCAAGAGAGACGCTGGTTAAAGCATAGCAAAGCTTCCTTAAAAGAAGTATGCATGCTGAATAATAATCCTTAATTAAAATTCCTTTCAAAACTTATTTAGAACTGTAGCTAAGGTAGTAGCGTAAACCATGGCTATTGTTTGTTTTAATTTTATATTTATTCATGGCTTGTTTTATAATCAATAGGTCAATGTCGAAGTTTAAGTCTGGAGAATATTAATTATCTTGGGTTGGCTCATAGGTTTTTGACAATTTTGTAAATTATATAAACTTTATTTACGTTTACTTAAAAATAAGAATATTTAAATTTTTAATAATAGTTTTATAAATCATGCAAAAAAGTATAGTAATTGGACACATGGACCATAATTATTGGACATACAATTTTTATATAAACATAACAACTTTACATCAAATAACATAAAAGGTTAAATATTGCTGTTTTAGGTAAATTTTTTTATTTCGTTTTTATAAATATCCTATAATTCATATATTTCTTTCTCGGATTCCTCATCCCTTTTCTGGATCTAATTCCTTGGTCTGACTTCTAAAATAGTTTGTTGCAAATATCATTATCTCTAGTTTGTGAATCATTTATAATGTTTAGGGCGGAACAGGATGATTTATATATATGTAATATTTTTTCGGGTGGTATGTTAAAAGTATTTTCCGAATTTATTAATTTTGTTGCCATTAGTTTTTTATGTTCTCTATCATGCACTGTATTTAAATCACTGTTATTCTGCAAGATCACCTGTGACGAAGAAATCACTATATTACTTACTTTCTAAAAACTAATTAGTCAAAAATGTCATAGCTAAAAAGCAGCCACTAATAATTCTCGTCAACAGCAATTTGTATCCAGGACATTTAGCAGTCAATTCCTATGAAATATTATTTGCTGAATCCGAAAATGTCGCCAAAAGTTATAAAAGTAGAACAGTTTTTGAAATATAATCAATTTTACATATAATATGGAATTGACTTTATCTTAAACTGCTTAACTTTTATAGTTTTTGATTTTTGACATATGTCCAATAATAGAAATTTACATTTTTTACCAACCAGAAATTGGAAGAGTTTTACTGTTTGTTTTTAGAATTAAAATTAAAACGAATTAAAGTGACAATGTTTAAACCATGAGGAACACATTTATGCCACACACTGATCTGTACACTTTTTAGAAATATTTTTTATTGTAATTTGGACGCCTTTCTGCAGAAAGGAACCAACCCACAAAACCAAAAAAATCGAGATATTTAGCCTATGAACTAATTAAGTATGTATAATTTATCTGCAAAATAGGTCATAGCCAAAATGCAAGTGTAGTGAAATCTATTAATCATTGAACCAACCAACATTCAATAATAGTGTGGATTGCTAATCCAGAATTAGAATCTGTAGAATATCTGCAAGTGGGTTGGATCTTTTTTGTAAAAAAGCAGGCTGGTAGACCCACTACCAAAGTCTTTAAAGATTTCCTGCTTCTGCAAAATATAAAGTCTTGATGCATTTTTTGGTAGCTTACAAGATGAGGTGGGGTTGGAAGATGATGTGGACGAATTTCAAATAGAATCAAAATTAATTCATATTACCATTATAATAGTAATATCAGTTGTATTTTGTTTGGAAATAAATAATTGTCGCTTTTCTTTAAATACATACATACATCAGATAGTAGTTTTCATAAATTGCAGAAAGGAACCAACCAACAAAAGCCCATTTTTTTCGTCACCCTTACACATAACATCACAAAATCCACCTGATGAAATTATTATATTATATCCTTTAAACCTCCGTAAGTCCAAAATCGGCATAAAATTAACAGGTAATTTTAAAATTATTAAAATCTTTGATAGCTTTTTTCTCAGTTTCATCATGGTGTGGGTTGGTCCCATTCTGCAGAAAGCCGTCCATTTATCTTTATCTTTGAAATGATTTAAAATTAAATATCTGGTGATCTGGTTTAAAACAAAAACCTTGATTAATCAAAGAGTGGTTTTTAAATTGCTCTTCAGTTTAAGTTTTATTGAATAACGCAGATTGGTTTAAGTTAAATGGAAAAGCACTATCACGATTTTTATTATGGAGAAAAGATACTCTATTTTACTTTTAAAACAAAAAGATTTTTAAGTAAATCGCATTAAAAGCTTAACCGTGGCTAGAAAGGTTCTTAATTTAAATAGACATTTCATTGCATTACAGTTTAACAAAATCACTTTAGAGAATCCTTTGATAGTTAAAAAAAACACTGTGGGCAAACGCGTTTATACAGGGTGGCTTGTAATAAGTTGTCACCCCATAAAAATTAACGTAATTCTTAAGCAATTGGGATTGACATATCAAGTAGAGTCGGCCAGTTGTTTTACTGTGATACTGATGCGATGGTTTTAACGGTTATACTT